AATTAAACCGGTTTAATACTGAGAGCACAGAATAATACACCACAACGTTCTAAAACTGTAATAATACAGGTTTGCTGTAATCTCTTGCATACTGTACAGCTGTGGATCCTCAGTGAATGCTCAGCTCTTAATGGGATTACCCCACAAGCCTCAGTGCTCTTACTCCCCTCCACTTCCTTCTAACTCGCTTGCTTTTGATCTTCTCCTTACGTGGAATTAATCTCAAATCTGCTCAGCCGTTATGATTCAATTAACCAGCGGATGTCTTTTTTTCGCTCGATGTGTTGCAATTTTCAGTCTTCATTAGAGAATGAATCACACAAGAGAGATAAAGTCTGATTATGTGTTTCTTGCACTGGGAACAGCAGCCATGAATGCTCTGTAATGTATTTATAGTGATCTGTGATGGTGGACTGGAAATTAGTTTGTCACTTGTTGGGCTTAAAGGGTTAGAAGTCTTCATGGATGAGATGTGACCCTGTACAGAAAGAGACATGCCTGCGTCATTATTAACATTGAAGTAACAGAAAGAGAAAATTATGTTTATTTAAGATATTATTTACACTGGATTGGTTAGTGAATAAACCACAGATGGAAACATCTGTCACTATTCTTTATGTCGCTTTGTTTATCCCTTTCAAAAGTGCTGTTCTCTATTTTCTTTGATAGTGATGATTTATAGAAAATTGTATGGGCTGTTATACAAATGAATTTACATATTAGGGTAACATTAAATTGGAGTACAAAGTAGAATACTTAACATGACGGTCTCTATTAGAGAATTGCATACATGTTTCCTATTGCTAAGTGTTTTTTCTTGAACTATAAACATTTATCAGTTATATGACTGTTCAATTTAGACGGTGCTTCAAGGTTTAGTTACATCTGTTACAGGGTAAAAACAAAAGTAAAGAAGTCCTGATAAACAGTGTGAAAAAGATGAGCCTTATTGTGCCTCATCATAGATAACAACTGTAAACCACACCTTTGATGATGGTGCCTTACTGCCAATTGCATGTTGAATGCTGAGATGCTTATGGTGAATCCTACATCAATGACTTTAGTGTAAAAGAGGCCCTATTTGGGGGTTCCCCCTTTTCTTTAGTTTGTTATATACGTTGTTGTGCATGTAAATGGTTTGCAAAGGCTAAAATCCCAAAGGCCACGCCAGAGGGAGTTTCTCTCCCATACACTCCCCCATCCCCCCCCTGCCTGAAACGTCTCCATGGTAGTCCTTTGTTTCAGGTCTCCCGTGTTGGATAGTGCTCCAACACATTGCACGTGACTAAGGCTAAGGGCCAGCTCTTAGCAGCTGATAAATCACAACAGAGCCGGCAAGTTAACCAATCAGAGCTAACCATTTACATGTATGGTTTCAGACAGAGGGTGAAAAGAGGTGAGGCAGTATGAGAAAAAACATAGAACTTTTCGAACATCAAAGCATGGGAACCGTAGTCACAGTTGAGGCACACATTTAAATTATGAATCCTGAAAAAGAGCATAATAGGGCCCCTTTAAATTAGGAACTTTTACTACATGTCATTTAGTTGACGTCATTAGATTCAAAGAAGACTAACCTTTTAAGTGCTACATACAGACATAAGGTTTTTATTTATTTTTTGCAGTGTGGTGTTAACCCCAGATTTGCCTACTGATCGCCATTCATTTCAAAATGTTTGAAAGTTAAGCGTTAGGCTTTGAGAATAAAAATGAGGGAAAGTCTAAAGAAGATTGAGGAGGATTTGCATTCCAGAAGAATCACAGAATGACTTTAAGTACAGGCGAGTACACTCATTTTTGTGAATCTTACACTTGTCGTTTAATATGTTATTGCAATACAATTACCCCAGTAAATCAAACCCTTGGGTGCCATTGAGTTGTTAACTTTTACAAAAACAGCTTTTAATTAGCATTTTGTTATTTTACATCAGTCATAGGGAAAATGCAGTACATAAGTACCTAATAGGATGCCAAAGAACAACACATATGTTAAAAAAAAACTGCTTCAATAATAACATATCAATGATGGAAGATTCTCAAATGTTTTTCTTTTAGAATAATTACTTAAATCAATTATTAAATAAAATTAACACCAAAATATGTAGTAAAACTAAATATGTTTTTCATGATGACATGCATTTGGTTCATATCTAGATTCTCTGAACTGATTTTTAAAATCTAATTTGAGAACTGATACTCAAAGGAGTTTGAACTTGGTGGTCACAGTATATATTTACCAATTAATAATATTCTCACCATTCTCATGTTTGTGTCACCCTTTGATTATACTACCCTCTACTGTCTGGTTTCATCAACTACACACGTGATAATACATGGTATTAAAAGGAGAAAAGCGACTTTGTTTGTTGTTGGCAATATTAGAAAAAGTTGGCAAATTGTCAATGATATTTGAAAATAAATCAATATTTATTTTTGCATGACCAGTTTAAATGTGGGACATTTAAATATACAATTATTAAAAAATGTATTTATACAGCCTATGTATATTTGGAAGTACTATAAATACAATAAGACACAATTATACACATGTAAACATCAAAATAATTAAAGATGTACAGTGTGAAAAATGAATTCTTCTCAATGGTCCGACCCGATTTTAGCATTCACCGGCTTCATAAAGGTCTCTGAATGTTTAAAGACTACCACTGCCTTAAAACTTATTTGATTAGCAGTTTCCTTCACATTTGAACACTTCAAACAGCACAGCAGATTCAGATTTCTACAGCATGGAAAGGTAAAAATGAGGACATTAGACTTCAAATGAAGAGTGTGATGATAGCTATGGGCATTAAAAGGAGAGGGACAAAGACTCCAGTGTGTTTCGCTCCGTTACATAGGTCCCCAGCACAGCATCTGACACTCACAGAATCCACGTTATTGCACACATCACTTCTCATGCATTCTTTTGTGATCAAATTTTCAGCAACTGCAACAGAGAAGGACGGGAAGTATTACATTTTATAAGATAACATATGTGATAATATTCACAGAAGTTCTGGCTACTCAAATCACACAATAATATAAAACATAATAATAACATTTCAAAGCCACAATATTGTGGTAAATGCAACATACCGATGGAAGTGCTGCAGCGGTCATAATGTTCAGCACAGTCCCAAACATGAGTGCAGGAGCCAGGGTTTGCACTCCAGCAGGTGAAGCACTTTAACCCACACACTGCAGGCAAAGCAGAATTGACATTTTTTACAATGACCTCAACTTACTGATTTTTAGATTACATTTTGTGATGGCTGCTCATCTTTACTGATCTTACCTCCTGACAGCATCATACAGATGATCCCCAAAGACACACACAGCCACATTTTGAGTCAAATGGAAAGCCAAGGAATTGAAAACTTGTCCGACCTCTGATGATGTAAAATGAATGTTATCCACTTCCCGGTGTATTTTATATCCACGGACAAACTAATTATGTTTGGACAGCTCAGAGGGGAGTGTCCACCAGTTTTCCTTTCATGTTGACCATTTATTTCATGTTTAATCATTTATTTGTACCTGGCTCTCAAAAGTCGTACTAATTCATCATCAATAACAGTTTCAAAAACATTCCTGTGTCGAGGAAAGTTTTCTTAACCTGAGTTACATATTTGTTTTTACATATTGTCAAAACACTTGAACCATCTTTGTTGAAGCTGAAGCTGCCACTCCTGAAGGTGTAAATGTTTAACTAATTGCTGTTTCAACAGCCAAAAAACCTTGGCAGATCTTTATTAGAGCAATAGAGTTGCCTATTGAAGTCTGCATGTATGCTGATCGTGGTCGATCTATTACACACTAATATACACTATTGGTTCTATGTGAATTACAATCTTCCATATTCAGTATCCCTGCTGATAAAATCTAATTTTATTCTCTGTCAGATAAATCCTAGCCTTATTGAGATTATAATAATTGCAGCATTAAACCTCACCAAAACACACTCTCATACACACAAATCTTGTTAATGCAGATTTCTAATGGCATTAGTAGATCTACGTCATTAATCTGCTGCCAGAAAAGGCAAAGCAACTAAAAAAAACTCTAGAATTTAGAAGGGCCATTCACCCAAATAATTAATTAATAATTTCTTAATTTAATTTGTTGTGCTTCTTTCATAGTTTAATCCACACTCCTTCTTTCCAAAGCATCTACATAAGATGAAGTAACTTTGTTATACTGTAGTGTAGACCAGCCCACTCTGTTTGTTCCGTCTGGTGTTTGCAAGGATCTTGACCTTTCACCCCTGGATCAAAGGCCTGAGACAAGTGAGGTCTGGATGCCAGGTTATCCACCGGCTGCTGAGAAGTGATTTTGACACTTTTTTAGTTCCTGATGCTATTTCTTCACTTGCTGCTGTAACAGTGGCTATATTCTTCTCTGTGGGTCTAGAGTTGGAAAGTTTGTGACATTAGTGTCCAATATATAGCTTTATTTGATTAAGACTGGCAGTCAGCCTTGGCCTTTTTCTGAGGGGTAGAAGGGACTAGAGTGAGTAGGCGTTGTTGTTTGCACTGAAGTTGTGCTTTCTTTTCTGTTTTACCTAGATTACGCTCTTTCTAATTACCTTGTTTTTATAAATTGCTTAGACTATTTAATTTATTGTAACATGTTGTTTTTGAGATAAACACACATAACCTGGCTACATTTGATGGACAAGTGGTGGGAAAAATATTCAGATCTTCTACTTGACTAAAAGTACTAATACAATAATTCCACTTCATAATAAGTAAATATATACAAAACTGTAGCAAAAGCTAAATGTAATTAAAGAAGGGAAAGTAAAAGTTCTGGTTATGCATAAATGACCCTTGAGAGAGGTTTGACTTGGTCTTTCCTTATTGAATTTGGAGAATATATCCTTACATCATGATTCATTTTCCAAAACAGAGTCTAACACCACCAACATAGGACATCTGCCAAAAATACACCTTGTTTTGTCAATCAAGTTTATTTAGTCTAGAATTAATATGCACGTAAATTATGTATTGTAAGTAGGTACAGTGCTATACAGACCATGAATATCTTGTTAGACCAACAGTTTAATTAACGGTGGTTGGAGTGCCTGCTCTTTTCCAGGATTCCCTGCAAAGGTGATGTTCACTTCCTGAACTGAGGGATGGGGGAGGGGATCTTGATGTCCTGCCCCCTCTCCAGCCTCTTCTCACATTCGATCAGGTAGTTAACTCCATCAACCACTAATTGTACCAGCTCCACCTGTGAACATATTGTCAAAAATCGTGGTTAGAGTTTCACAGGTTCAGGTTACACTTACAGTTATATTCAATTATGTATTATGATCCTGAACTTTAGGAACTCTTAAGTAGTATTCATCTCACTGAGGTTCAAGAGTCATTACATTACAGTCCTGAGTCTGTGGGATTTCATGTAATGCATAGGAACTATAAGCAAACAAGTGAAATTAGCTAGTGTGGTGGGGGAAAAAGTGAATATTTTTGTTAAACCTTAAAATTAACTTTACTACAATTGCAGGTACATCTAGAAATTCCGCAAATAAGTGGATTTTGAAGGTGAATGCAATTTGTGTTGGAACTAATGTCATGTCCATGTAGAATAAATGAAGATGTTGAAGACAGTTGCTGGTTGATAAACTCTTTAACATGTGCAATCAGGAAAGAAAAATGAAGCACATTTTGAATACATTATATTTTGTATATTTTTAGAGTCTCATCGCAATGCACTATCCCCCCACCCTTCTATAAATGGCTGTCTAGCAAGATGAACTAACTCCACAAGACTTTTGCTCCCTGAGCCTTTCAGGAAGGACTTCCTCTGCTTGACTGTGGTGGCAGACCTCCATTACCATGTCCTTGATAATGACCTTTAACAGACCTAATTGGTAGTGTCCATTGGAGGCCGTCCTCACAGTCTGTCGGAAAGAGCCGCAGGAAGGGCTCAGCTCAGGAGACAGAGGTCTATTACCTCACCTGGCATATGCCTGGATTACAGATTAAAGAACTTATTCAGAGCACCTGTTAGGATGTCTGCTGTCCTCTCTGTGACTCTGTCTTTGCCTGCCACTAAATTCTACTTTTACTTCAGCTTCCACTTAAGGTGATTACTGTACCTCTGACTTGCCGAGACGGTCGTTGTTAGAGATGTCGACGGTGTCTCCAGTGGCCGCCGTGTCCACACCACCAGTGCCTCTCTTCTGAAGCCTCAGGTTCTCCAGGATCTTTTTGAAGCGAGGGTCCTTAACAATAAACATTAAACATCAATATGTTGAGAATACAGGAGGAAATATGTGTTGTTTGAGGGGAACCCCCAGTGTGTTTTTTTGCATTACCCTGCTGAGCATGGGCAGACGGACATGCACCCCCGCCCTGAGTCCAGTGCCCAGGTTGGAGGGGCAGGTGAGGATGTAGCCCAGACGGTCATTCCACATGAACTCCCAGCCTCTCTCCTGAATAAGATGCTCCACCTACAAATTACAAGAAAGTATTGTATTTTTACTTTTTGGAACACACATTTGAAATATAATTTCAACAGACTGGAGATAAAATATTATTCAGACAAATAAGGCTCTGCTTTTTTTTCTATTTTTGATGTGGTAATTCCAATTATTGTTTTAATACAGCCTCATACTGTAGGCAATCATATGTAAGTAGTGCTACTGTAAGTACTAATATCAATACTTGCACTTAGACAAACTGCATGCATTTTCATTTTCTTTATTTAGGGAAGAGAATGACTAAAATGTTTTAAAACTTTACACATGCATACCTGTTTAAGTCCTCTACAGAACCTTTCAAACACTCTCTTCATGTTTCCTCCTTTCTCCATGGATATGATCCTTGTGTGGTCCTCCTCATTGATCCAGAGTAAGAAGTTCTTCTCGTTGTTGTGCCTGAAACCCCAATAACAGCAGAAATGAATTCCAATTCAGAGCTGGGTTTTAGTATTAATACCAATCTGAATCTGCTGATACAATTGAATCATTCAGCAGTATAAATGTGTTGTCAGGCAAGACATTGGCTATCAAGGCACAGGCAGGGAGGCGGAGGTCTGATCAACAGTATTATATCAACAAGGATATTATCCTGCATTTTGAGTTATGGAGGTAAAGGAAGTAGAGAGGCCAGAACATTTTTTGCAAAGAAGAGTTACATTTAATTAGTGCAGAGCAGTATTTTAAAAGCATGGAAAGGATAATTAAGGCACAAGTAGATTACTCATTACTAATGGAGGGTATGGACGAGCTGCAAGCGAACGCATCAGTGTTCTACCAGTGATGTTTTAGGCAGAGGAAAAATTGATTTTCCATGCATTGTGAGACTAATTAACAATAAAGCACCATTGTTGTTTGCTGGTTATTTTAAGCCTCGCAGCAATAGGGGAATGCATTTCTTTATAAACTGTTCTAACGTGATTTTACAGAGAAACTGTGTAATCTAATTCTACAGTATAAGCCACTTCTCTCTACTCATATTGGTCCTGTATTGTACGATGTTGGTGTCTAATGGTGTCTGTTAGATAGTTCCTAAATAACCCTTTGCGTCCAACACATTGATAAATGTCATCAAATACGCTACACTGCTTTAAAAGGATGTTTGTGACTACAGCCAATCAGCACTGTTTATTTTAGACAGGGATTTGTCTCGGCTTACCAGATCCCACGAGCATCAGGCCAATCTCTGGCCATCCCGGATGCAGTCAGCAGAGGTGACACAGGTTTATCAAACAGGAGGTGCTCCTGCCAGTGAAGGGACAGAGGAATCATGGGGAACATTAGTTGCCAACATCCATCAAAAAACAAATAGAGATACTTGTCTCTGAGTGTGTGCGAGGATATGTTTGTGCACTTACATCAATAAGGTGTTGCTGCTCTCTATCAGACATATCTCCCAGGCTGTAGTAGCGCCCAGCCAGGTCCCCCTTCAGGCCGGACAGAGCAGTCACACACACACGCTCCACCTCACGGCGCTCAGAGCGCGAGCATGCAGGGGGGAGACTCAGTCCACGGATGCTACGCCCAGTACGGACACGAGATGACAGCACGTAGCGCTCATCAAACATTCCTGAGGTGATCTGAGGAGGTGAAAGCATTACGTCACTCCGTGTGGGAGTTTGAGCAGGTTATAGGAGGAGGATGGGATGGAGAGAAATTAGTTAAGAGAAATGCTGGTGTAACCTTTGAAGCATCCAGGTCAGTGGGGTGCTTCATTGTGCGAGGATCGTAGCCATTGTGTCTATCCTTGATAACAGGATCAAAGAGCTCAGCAAACAGCTGGTGGAGAAAATAAAACACTCAGTTTCACATCTCATTTTTGGATTGTCGACACAACAACACACTGCAAACACGAATTCCAACCTCGTAGCTCTCCTCGTCTCCAGCTACCATGCCCACAGTCTTGATAAAGGGGTGTCCAGGGTTGTCCACCCCGGTCTGGATGCACTGGTCCACGGTCCACTCGTTGGAGGTGGTCTTGTCCCTCAGGTGTCCATAGATGGTGGGGGTCAGGGCTGCTGCCATGCAGTTGTTGTGCTTCCTCAGGTCAGGGAAATCAGCGCTATTGGAATAAAATAAAAAAAACACTTACTTATTGTTTGGACAAGAAGCTTTACAACTTACAAAACTGTTTTCAAGTCTGTAACCAAAGACCAATCACGTTATAAATCATTTAGTTTGCTTCAGCATTTTGAGAATAAATTCATACATGTCTGCATTTTTTGAAATACATTTCTTAATAAATATTATATAATTGTATTCGGTAGATTAACTGTTCCAAGGAACTTGATTTGTATGTATGCCATGCATTGTGTTTGAATGTACCTAAATGATAAACTGATTTAATATCTCTTATTTTATGGAGAAATAATATAGGCATTTTGGCTGTATGGAGATTATTGAAGAAAGTCACATATGTACCTGGGTGGATAGAGCTTCCTCCTCTCAGCTGCATCAACAGTGCTGTCACAGAGAAGATATCCAGATGTCAGAGTAGCAGCTCCCACGCTGGACAGAATCACAGCCGTGTTACGGCCAGATAGCATGCGGGTGAAAGAGTTCGCCATGGTTACCTGTTCTGGTTATTACCTGGTGAAAGGTCAGAGGGTAAAGTTGATTTTCCATTAACATTGTGTTTTTCTTAATGGAAAAGGTTACAATAGAGTACATTTATGTACATTTTAGTCTGTGACAACATGTAAGGATAGGATTTACTACATTATTATTTAACTATTTCATATAAATAATGAAAATCCTACATCATAAATACTTTTAATTTAGGGTTACCAAGAATACTTCAAAGGTATTGCTTTTTTTGTGTATTGTAATGGGAATGCATGACTTTCACTTATAACAAAGTATTTTTACAGTGTGGTATGATAACTTTTACTTAAGTAAAAGATCTGATTACGCTGTCTACCACCAGGTTGCTGCTGACAGTCATCAAGTATCATCAACAGTTATTACTTGAGTACTTTAGTTTACCTCTGAATACCAAAGTGTATTTACACTGCTTGTGGTTATAGTTGTTTTATCTCCTTATGGAGTTATATATGACAGCCTATGTGTTTATGTTTATTTGCGCTTCTTTACTACAGCATCCTGCCTGAATGTCACAGAAGGCATGATCTAGAAGAACATTAACACACATCTTCAGACTAGACAACTAATGTCATTAACCTATCAAGTCCTCAAGTGACAGATTACAGGATTTCAGGACGTTTGCTGTATCTTTGCACATCACCCATTAAACATATTCTATATAGGTCTTAATCTGTATAGGTTTAAGTCACCTGGCCATCACACCCACACACAGTATTTATAGTAGCAGTTGGTGAGGTTAAGCTGGAGTGCCAGTTTAGAGGTGGAAGACAACACATGATGCTCTCTGACAGTCTGGGCTGCTTGGCTGAGTTTACACAGAAACAACGTAAAGACAGAGAGTGGGCTTTAGGTGAGGAAGACTCAAATATAGAAGTGAGAGGAAATTGAGTTTGAAAGGAGCTGTGGACAATGGATGTTGGATGTATGAAAAGAAAGACTTGTAAAGAAGCAGGAGTTGGTGATTATAGTAAAGCAGGAGTGAGGGTCAGTTGGGATTTCACAAAAGGTTAAGAAGAGAGTGGAAAAGGTTGGATTAGAGAGAATCTTGTCCCAGACTTGAAGATTAAAGGAAGAGGGAAGGTAATGAGGAGAGGCACTTGTGACATGTGACCTTTCTAAAAAGAGGAATCACAAAAGGGAGGCGAGCAGTGGTATACAGACTGCTGTCTACCTGCTGATATCAGGCAGGTTAAGAGGCCCTAATGCAAAAGGCTGCTGTGCCGTGTAGACCACATCATGTGTTATACATGTAAATCTAGTGGGCATGTAAGACAAAAGATGACGAACACTCTGTGTTTTCAAACCTATTTGAAACTTCCATCAAATATCATTAGAAAAAGTGTTCAAAAATAAATCCTCTTAAAGTCTTATGCATACTCTACATCTCTTTGAAATCACCTTTTCAGAGGACAGTCACAAGTTTGATAAAAAAACAACAAGTGGATAATGTGTCAAATGCAGCCTAAAAGCTGTAAGCAACAATTGTACTCCCCACTGGAGAGGCAAGACACATGGACAGGGCTGCAAGGAAAAGAGCTGAGAGGAGAGGATGGGGAGTTTATTGCTCACCTGAGGGTTTTCTGAAGAGTTGAGGTGGCAAAGGGCCCGTGTGTTTCCTGCAGCTCAGTCCGGAGAGGCTCAATCTGCAGAATGAGAGCAGACTGAAGAACAGAGACGGGATGGGTGCACTGGATAAGGATTAGCCTCTCACTAGGCGTCAGACAGAAAATCCTCTTTCTACTGTCAGTCAGCATGTCTGTCAGTTTGGCAAACGTTACCTCCCAAGCCAATCAATGGCATCTAAAACTGATATCATCACCTATGCAATAGTGTCTCTAATTTGGATGCCTTCTACTTATTTTATTTCACAGCAATTCAAGTACAGTATTAATGATTTTCACTCACCAATAAGCTGCTGTCTTAGACTGGAAAGGGCTGAGATGTCGCACCAACAGCGTTCTGGTAAACTTTGACTAACTGTCGTCCAACTGTCGCTTGGAAACAGGAGTCATGTTGGTTAATCTGCTATAAAACTCCCGCTGAGACACAAATGCTTGCAACCTACAACTGCCAGCCTCCAGTTGGTTTATCAGCACTAAAAACTGACAGCAGATCCCACACTAACAACTTGTCAAAGTTCCTCGACAGCATTTAGAACGATGACTTCATCGCCTTGCAAACACGCTCAACTTCTGATTCACACATCACCACTTGTTTCTTCACACTCTTCTTCTCTCCCTTTCATTCACGCTAACATTATCTCCTGCAACAAAAAAGAGCAATGTAAGTTGTTCTAACAGTGAATAGTGAACGCACATTCAACAGGGTTTCCTCTTCATAATGTATGTGTATTTATATTAAAGCTGTTATAGATAAGTATTATAGATAAGAGTTATGTAATGAAACATTCCCTCACCATATTGATTGTTAGCTCACATTTATAACATGTTTACTGTCTAAAATCCTTTCAGGGGAAATTAGAGAAACACATTTTTATTTTGTTTACACTTTTTGGTTTTAACCGTTGAACTTAAAGACAAGGAGCGGTATATATGTTGTGTACACAGGTCATCATGCCTCTGCTGTAGCAAATAGCGGCAATGCTGTACATGACCACCGGGTGGCAGGATTGCATCAGTGCCGGATTACACTACGTGACGATATGGAGACCTACAGACAGATGTTATTTAAACCACACATGTGACGAGTCATTTGGTCTCATGCTCCTCTCCAAGTCTACTTTTAGACCTCATCACTAAATTAAACCCATTGATGTGCAGGAGCATTTGTTTGCCAAAATAAACTGTTCCCTGATCATACAAAGCAAACATTTATCTCCCATTATTTTAAGAGTGTGGTCCCACATTTTTGATGCACCCTTGAGCCGTACATTATGGTGAAAAATGGACATAGAGGTTCAAATGAAGAGCCGCTGTTTAGAGGAATCAGAAGGAACCGAATATCTCAATGATGCATAGCTCGAGAAAATACGCAAACATATAAGGCATGTTGAATTTATTTCTCCTGCACCGTGAACAATGCAAACAAATACACAAAAATGAAAATACAATACAAATGTGGCATCCTGTATGTTAAACAAACACTTAGAAATACAGATGCAGTGCAAAACAAAAGGTTGTGTTTTTTTAAAGCAAAGCCTCTAAACATTTTCTTTAATCAATCTGGAACAAGGTTATTGTTGGATGAATATTTTTTACTGAGGAGTGCATCACTTCCAACACTGCTACTCCATAACGACAGACTGATTTGCAGATGACTCGAGCTGAAAGATGTGATGTCATAAGCTACACTAAGAGACAAATGTGCCAGATTTGATGGACAAAATATTGTTTCTATGCCTTTAAACTGAGCCTCCTGACAGATACAGAGACAATATTAAAATAGAGAAGCAGAAGGAGCGTCCAGTTAGACATGCACAACATGCAGCTGTTGTGTACATGCAGGACAACTATGTTGATCATATCAGCAATACAGAAAACATTCTGGTTATTCAAATGCTACATCTTTTTAACGTTCAAAAGACATCGTTTTTTTTCTTCAGAATAAAGTTAAACAGATATCTTGCAATACAAGAGGCTGGGATGCAAAACTAGATTTCAACATCAAAGCAAGATAGACAAAAAACTACAACAATAAATTAATATTCACAGCAAAACAATTTGTCATCAATCATATGATATGTGTGGAGTCACTTTATACAAAATAGCATAAATACATTATCTGATGAAATAAATAGCATGGTAAATAACGATCATACTGTCACTCAAGCGAAGCTACATCTCAGAGAGTGCAAAAAACGGTCCCAGCTTACATCCAAGAGTTACACACTAGGACTAACTACACACGTCAGTATCTGACAATTTGTAAAAGCCAAAGAAATCAAAGTGCACACATACCAAAGCTTTGGGTCGGTTATTACAATGTTTAAACACCAGAGAGAGATATTTTCTGCAATGACTTCACTGTGTTTACACTAACATGCTACTGTTTAGTCGACATTACCTATTCTCTTAAGAAAACATTGTGGGGAAATTGACCTACACTAGTGGAAGGCACTGATAAATGTTTTAATTTCGTATCATTCATGAGGACATTTTTTTTAAAGAGCTTTCAATTGTAAATGGAGACAAAAACCTACTATAGACAAATACAGAATTCAGTTTTTCTACAATGGAAACATTAGCCACTTCATCAAAATAAATCAAATTTCTATTTAAAATTATCCAAATTATAGTATCTTTCCACAATATATTTAAAGGCTTAAAGGCATCTTTTCATACCTAGCCCACTGAGGATGCATAGTGGCTTAGAGTCACCCTGGTTAGAGTGAAGCATGCTAAGCTGAGGGTCAGGGGTCAGGTTGAAGGCCATTTAGACAGTTACATCCCAAGCTGAAATCATGCAAGTTTTATGCA